GGAGGAGCTTACCTGGTATCTACATTAGCTGGCTGGGGAATTCTGGGAGTTGAAGTCCACACCTCTTAAAGTTGCCGAGGTTGAGAAACAGTGGTTTGGTGTATCAAATGCACAAATGTGGGAGGAGCTTACCTGGTATCTACATTAGCTGGCTGGGGAATTCTGGGAGTTGAAGTCCACACCTCTTAAAGTTGCCGAGGTTGAGAAACACTGGTTTGGTGTATCAAATGCACAAATGTGGGAGGAGCTTACCTGGTATCTACATTAGCTGGCTGGGGAATTCTGGGAGTTGAAGTCCACACCTCTTAAAGTTGCCGAGGTTGAGAAACACTGAGCCCAACAGAAGGAAATAGACTAGGTAGCTACTTGCTTCTCACTTGCCAAAGGCCAAATCTCAATCCCCTTAAGTATATTTTAATCATTTGGGCTTTCTGGGCCCCAAAATAGAGTTGGACAGCATCATCTCCAGATGCTGGCTAGGCCCAGCGGCTTGATTGCGGGTGGAATTCCTGGGTCCTCAAATTAAGTGAAAAAATATCTCAAGAACACAGAATACTGGACACTGGTGTGCATGACATTGCAACTTTCAGCCTAAATGGACTGCTGAAGCAAGGCTAAGGGCTCCTTCCCAGATTAAAAGGAGTTCCAGACCTCTGGCTGTGTTTGACAGCCAAGCTATTTATGATTCTCTTATACCCTTTCAAAACTGCAGTAAAGCTCTTTAAACACCACCACCAAGTGGAGCTTGTGGAACCATTTACAGCAAATCCTGCCTCAACCTCCCACCCGGCTGCTGGGCTTCAGGTCTTCCAAGGGGAAAGGAGCCGTGATACCTTTCCAGCTCCCCCTTCATTGGAACTGCTAGGATTTTTTTTTTTTTTTGCACGAGTAGATGGATGCACACAATTAAGGCTTTAGAACATGGATACTGTGTGTGTGTACATGCACCTGCAGTTTATTTTACCTCCCTTTTGCACAGAGTAGGGGTGAGAGCCTTTTAGCTACCGTAAGATATGTGGCAGCTTGGTAATGAATTTTGCTGCCTGCGTTGCAAAGTCAGTGAGATCTTCTTCAAACTGCTTTGAGGTACTGGCAGTATGGAAATGGCAGTATGGAAGAGCTCTCTATATAGACTATTACAAGAGAATCCTCCCTTGATGTCTTCTTTCTTTAGATTAGAGAAAATTTGGCAGAAAATTGTCTTGTGCAGCTGATGGGGGTAATTTCAACGAAGTGGAATTGCTGGCTGTAACCGGAACTAAAGGTGCTGGTGAAACTCTAAGATGCTCATCTTTGATCTTGTTCTGCCAATATTCTATTCTGGCAAAGAGTGGAATGAGAAATTACCTTTGCTCTTGACTCAGACTGAGATTTGTGCCCTCAATTTAATACTCTGACGCAGACTGTCTGCATATGGAATTACATCATGCCAAAGATGGAATCTAAACCAGCGTATCTCAACTTTGGTAACTTCAAGATGTGTGGACTTCAACTCCCAGAATTCTGGGAGTTGAAGGAATTCTGGGAGTTGAAGTCCACACATCTTAAAATGGTCAAGGTTGAGAAACACTGATCTAAACGACTGCTAAGGTGTTGCAGCTATTCCTTCTCCAATGCTGGAAAGCAGTTTTCCTGCTCGTCATACTTGAAGATATTTTAGACTTGGTACAGTATTTCAAAAAGAAACAGGGGAGATAATACTAGAATGAAGTTTTGTTTCCCCAGTCTTGGCACCCTCCAAATGTGGACTTCAACTTCCAGCACTCCCCAGCTCGGATAGCAATTCCTGAGAATTCTGGGAGATGAAGTCCTGGTGGATGGGAATAACGGATTAGGGTCCTGGATATTTCTGAATGTCCATTCTCTACAGATCAATGATCACCTGGTTAAAAGTAGCCGAGATAGTCAAGGATAGAGAGTAGTAAAGGATTATCTTTCACCTGCATGGCTGGAACGGAAAAGAGAAAGCTGGCCCTGGTGAGACTGGCTGTGCCCACTGAGCTCATGGCATCTGCTTTCTGAATACAGTGACTATTCCCAGAACTGGATCAATGGAGTGGAAAACCCCTTAGCATATGGGGGGGGGGCAAGGGGCGGGAAACTCCACACCACACTTTAATGTAGGACCTATGGAAAGCAACACGACACAGTCTGGCTGCCTGGTCTGGAAAGTCACACGCGTGAGCAAGCATCCTTCAGCACCCAAATCTCTCTAGCGTGCTGCCGGCACGGAAGTGGGGTAGGAAGAGAGAGAAGCAGGAAAAATGTCTTCTTCATTTCTGCCCATCTCCAATGACACCTACACTGAAATCTAGACTGCGTATCCATTTTTAGCAGCAACAGAAAGGCATGTTGTATTTTATCTGCACGGAGAAAGAAAAAGAAACAGGGAGCAAATAAATAAAATAAAAGGATGGCAGCAAACCTGCATATTGGGGAACGTTTTCTGAGGTCCATATCCATGCCTGCTGTACTGTACAATCTGGCCACCCCAAGAAGTTTTAGAAATCTTTAATGGCCCGTCACGGGCAGTTCCAACGGCCTCCCTGCTCTCATTCATGCGTGTTCAGCCCAGGCCTTCCACCCACTCTGGTCCAAAACCCAGTAGAGCAATGCTTTGTTTTGGGGTACCAGATTTCCGGGGGGAAGGGAGGGAGCAACGTTCTTGCAATTTTGTCCTAACCACACCACTGTGCTCTGTGGGGAAATATAGTTTGGGTTCGTGCATCTGTGATGCTGGTGCTGGAGGTGGGAGGAATGGCACAACATGCATCCCGATTCAAAGGGCATGACCAACGTATCTGCATCAGACATCCCGACACAAATATAGAATTATACCATTTGGGCACTGATGTCATGACAGGCTTAAGCGGTCCACAGGCTTCCTCCGGCTCTAGTCCAACGGCTTTGGTTGCAGGCTGGGCGTGCCCAGATATTCGTCTCTGCAGGGGCATTTTTCTCCTAAGCGATGGGGGCTCTGGAGGACCAGCGCTCACCCGCCTGCCCGGGCTGAGAAGGAAGGGCCACTCACCTCGGGGGGCGTGAGCCGCGGGGTTCACCGAGAGGGTTGGCGCTCTCTGACACGCCCGTTCTAGGTTGTTGTGCTGCTTGGCCAACTGCTCGATGGTCTCTTCGAGGCGGATCCGTTGCTCGCGTTCATGCTGGAGGGCCCGCTGCCATTTCCTGCTGTGGGCTTCGGCTAGCTCCAAAAAGTCCCGGCAGGCCTGCGGGGAGGGGGGAGAAATCCGAAGATCGGTGGAGATATTCCCAGGGGACGGTGCTGCTTGCAGACAGAAGAGAAGGCGGCATTGCAGCCCAGCCCTTACAACGAGCCCAGGATGATTCCCAAGCAGCGTTGGGCCCCCCCAGATACAAATCGAACTCCCAGAATTAATCACATCCAGGCATCCAGTGTGCTATTGATCCCTCTGATGTTTGCTACGGCCTTCCATACGGAGGGTGCTCAAAGAGGGTTATCGTGTTTTAAAACACGAACGTGACAACTGGTGACTACTCTGTCCTTTAAAACCCTTACAAGCCCAGGGAAAATCAGGCAGACTGGGGAGAGCGTTCAATGCTTTTAAGGAGGACTATGCTGTCCTAGGGTTCTGCAAGACCCCAACAGGGGAAAAGAACAAAAACTTTTCAGCCCCCCTTCTGCCTGGAGAGCTTTGGGAACCACAAAGATGTGCTGGGGGCGCCCATGTAGCCCCCCACAATTGCCAGCACATCTTGGCTATTAGCACCTACCTAGTACTCGCTTAAAATTCTCTCATGCAGAAGAAAAGCTTTTCCTTTGGATTCCGTTCCCAAACAGCTCGCACTCTTTCCCCCAAAAGGTTAGCTGAAATCCTCTTTCTCATAATTTGAACTAAACACTCAAAGCAGCAAAAAAAACAAAAACAAAAAAGATTTCTGAATCCTCACTTCCAATATTTCATGTCTGAGACCACACCATCTCTTAATCAACTCTTTCTGATGCTGACAAAGATCCTGTCTGGAAAGACAAAGATATAGAAAATAACTTGCAGATGGTAATTGAAGACCAAAAAAAAAATCAGAATTCAAACAAAAAGCAAATTTTCAGGAGTTTGCCATCTTCAAAGAAATCCCTGCAAAATTAGAACTGCGAAGAAGTAATAAATACCAAAGAATTATGCAAAATAAAATAAATTACGCAAATTCATGGTGCCAAACCCGGCAGAAAGCAGGTTTTCTTCGTGCAAAATTTAGACTGCTGGGGCACAGAATTATTCAGGCTTTTCAAGCTAAGGTCACCACATGGACTTCTGCACCAAAAGAGAAGGGGGGGGGAGGATGAGAAATGTAGATAGGGGAGAGTTGATGCACACCCAATACAGAAGGCACTAACAAGAACCACAAAACTTTGTCATATACCATGCCATCACAACACCCAAAATTCACTGCATCTCCATGATAAAAGATGTAGCCGCAAGCCACTTAAGGAAAGGGATCCCAATGGAATACATTTCACTGTATGGTCCATACTTGATCCCATATGGTTGGCCCCCTCCCTCTTAGGCTTCCGAAAGAAACTGAAGATCTGGTTTTGTTATGATGCAGGCGGTGGGGATGGTCAGTCTTGGGGATGGCTGGTTCCCTAGTCCTACCTGACCAATATTATCGGCTTCCAGGCCGCAACAATACCAAAATACGCTTGGGTTTTATTATTAGGAATAATTGTATTGATGCTGTGCTATTTATGTTTTTATTGGTCTTAACTGTTGGGTTGTGAACCGCCCAGAGTCCCTCCTTGTGGGGGAGTTGGGCAGTGATATAAATTTGATTGATTAATAAATGAATGAATGAATGAATGAATGTACAGCTGCCAAAATTTGACTGATGAATGAATGAATGAATGAATGAATGAATGAATGAATGAATGAATGAACAGCTGCCCAATTCCGTGGCAGAGTTTGGACATTTGGAGCAGAAGACAAAACTATTCTGGGCCATGGACACAAGGCGAGCTCTGAAGCCCCCCCCACGCCCCCCCCCCAATGTTCCCTTTGCTCTTGAGCTAGAAAGAAACCTGGCATGACAATTAGCAACTCAGTGCTGTGACAGCTAAAAAGGCCCGCTTTTCTAGGTGGAACAAGGAGACGAGAAGCTCTCATGAAAGAGCTCGTCCCAGAAATGTCAGCACAGCCTTCAAACGAGCACCAGCCTTTGCAATTCTGAACGCACAACCCTGGAAGTCATGATCACAACCAGCTCTTCGGGTGAGTTACCCAAACAGTGGTGAACCTGCTTAAATTTCTGGGACTCTGGCAGTCCGTCGCTCTTAAAAGCAAAACTTACTGCAAATAAATTGCAGTCAGGATAAAGCACAAGGAAGGTATCCAGCTAAACAAGCTATGCTAGAAAATGAACAACATCCACAGCAACGACAAAATGGCTTTTTATCAGGGGTGTATACAGAGCTCTTTGGGGGACCGCAAGAGAAACCTCCCAGATGGGCCCCCACCCCAACATTAGTCACCTGCTGCTGGTTACCAGCGAGATGCCCTGGTTCTGGTGTTGGGGACTGGCACACATAGGTTACTCTCAGGCCTTAAAGAAGGATAGCAATAAACAGGTTAAATACACCGATAATTCACCAGATTTACTCCTGTCTTCCTATTCCTGCTTGAATGACTCTTTAGGGCAGAGTTCCTCAACCTCGGCAACTTTAAGATGGGTG